ACCACCTCTTACTTGTGTACTCTGTGTATATTGAAATGTGAGAAGTTTCTCTGGTTAACAGTCTCTAAATCATGGTGGTCCCAGGCAAGAACAAAGCCAAGCGACTGTTCCAGCTGTTTAAAGGGGTTCTTGGAAACTGGCTTAACTAGCAGTGTTTAGTACTGAAGTGGCTGGAGGTGGGGTAGAGAAATGTGGACACATGAAACTGCCTTATACTGGATCGGAACACTCTTCCATCAAGGGTTGGCAGGGGTTTTTCCAGGGCCTCGGATAGAAGTCTTTCCTATCTCCTCCTACCCGATCCTTTTAACTGGAGATGCCAAGGATTGAACCAAGGACCTTCTCCATACCAAGCTCTACCACTGAGCTATGGCCCCTCCTGTAGTTGCTGCCTTTCTAACTGGTCGTGCTCTTGTGCCTTCTGCGGGATTTATGATCAGAAATCAATTACATTAAGGTGAGGTCTTGTCTGTCCCAAAGAAATAGCCCTGGGGACGTCTGTTCAAAGTACGGAACTGCTAGAACAAAAGTGGTGACCTGCAATGCAATCTGCTTTCTGTTGTTGGTAGAAAGTGCCATCAAGACTTATGGCAACCCCATAGGGTACTCTTCAGTAACGCAGGGTACCCTTCCGTAATTTTTTAGGATAAGAATTTATAATTGGATGATATAATGGGTCAGATACCAGGGATCCATTCTGCTAGCAGTAGCACTTTCCTCCCAAGAAGACTTTATCTGAAGCAAGAGGCCTCTTGTGCCAGGGGAAGGGTCTTTGCACCAGAGGAGAGTGTCACCGCTAGTGCACTGAAACATGAAGCCAACCCCAATGTATAGGATTCCAATAAATATAGCATTCAAGGAGAGAGACTACATTCAAATAAAGAGAGAATCGTTTTCAGACTGAAGGAGAAATTATCAGGATTTTTTCTCTCTGTTTTTTTAAACAATTAATAATTGTCATCTTGTCAGATAATAGTATGAGCGTCCCTCTGTAAAAGTAAAATACAGTTTCGTTGGATCATGGTTTAAGGTATGAGGTAAACAGCCATCAGAAGGAGATGAATGGGGGGAAATTTTGTTTGTGCACATTGGCATACACTAGGGCGGGGTGGGGGGAGGAAAGACAAGTGCTACGTTTCATTCCCCTCTTCCCAGTGAAACTAGTGGAAACAACCAGGCTAAAGGAAAAATCCCCGAAGCAATAAGCACAATAAAGAGAGAGAACAAAAATGTAATTTATGACTAAAACAAACTTAAAACAGTTTTATGCTCTTGCTTAACTGAGGCCCATTGAGCTGCTGTGTTTTATTCTTTGTGCTGTTAAGTAAAAACATGACTTTTGGGGATGGCTTTTTCCGGAATTCATAGAGGAGCAGGGAGATCTTTACACTCTTGTTAAGCCCATCAGTGGACTTAGGAGGATGTAACTCTGTTTAGGATTGCACTGGAAGGTAGTCTTCGTTTATCTATACATTTCAAACAGCTTTAAATAGTTCCCAAAAATGCATCCCACAGTCGAAAAACAGCAAAGTTTGTAAAATTATAAAAGCTTAACAGTCACAGAACAGCCAGCTTTATTCACCAAAGCAAGCTTAAAGAAAAACATTTTACAGCCTTTTCTGTGGCCTTCAGACCCTCTTCCAGAAACTGATTTCAAAGGGAAAGGGGCTGTCACTGAAAAGGCCTTATTTCTCATTGCAGCTAAAATTACCTTGCAGATCAAAGGAACTGTCAGGTCCCCAGCTAAGTCACTCTCTGCACACACTATTGGCAGTGTAATGCTTTATTAGAGATATGATGCTGTGGGTTCAAGAGCTTTTGTTAGGACTGAAGAAATTCGCGGGAGATTACAAGATATAGGTAAAAGCATAAAATTCCACAACCATCCATGTCACACCTACCCTGGCATTACTATGGAAATTCAGACAGATATATGGCGCCCTATCTAAACTAGGCTGGCAGAGAGATACTCCAAGGTCAGTCCCATGGGAACCAACTTGGGGTGCTTCTACTCCCATGCACTCCAACAACATACACCCACCCCCCTTAGGAATCCAAAATGACAAGCGAAGGTAAAGAGAAACAGAACTTAAAGAAATCAAAAGTTAGCCTGAGCTTGACAGGAACTGTCAACATGGTCTATTGAACTGATCCTAATTGGCAGGAGGGCACATATGACTTTAAAAAAAAAAGGAATATGGGTTCCAGTCCACAAAGGGCTTGAACTTTAAAATCAGTGCCTTAAATTGAATGCTGAAGTAAATTGTCAGCCAGTGTAACTGACGCAAAAGAGGTGTCGTATCTGAGAATGTTGTGACACACCAGTTAATAATTGGGCAGCAAAATTCTGCGTGGTTTGAAGCTTTTTAACAGCTATTTTCAAGGAGCCCCATATAGTCAATCCAGGAAACTACAGGTGCGTGGATTACTTTAACCAGTCAGATCAGTCTCCAAGGGATATGTGTATGGAGTATGCGTAAATGGCACTTCAGGGACCAAACTACACATGACATTTGGGGGGGGGTCTACGTCACAGAGCTGTCAGAATGCAGCCATGGGGCACCCCATGTGGATAAGGGATGATGATACGGGAAGGGGTTTAATCTTCCCTTGGGCTGTTTCTCTAATGAGAAATATCTCCAGGATTGTTTTTAGTCTTGGGTGAGAAAAAAGAAAGCTACATATTTCCCCATGTCTCTCTTTAACGCAACTGAGGGGCGTTTCCAGTCAGGGAAGCAATTTAAGGGAAGAATGTGCCATCCTCTTCTCAGTGCTGCTATGGGGGTGGGCAGTTCCTGCATTTTTCAGTTCAGTAGCTTGTCTGGGGTATCCAAACAACAGATCTCTCCAGATTCTCTAGGGATCCAAGAGCATCCATAGGTGCTTCACTTGATTTGATAGAACAATCGTCACCCCATTCATTGCAGGGAGATCCCCTTCCCCAACATCAGCTCCATCTTATCTAGATTCAGTTTGTTTACACTTTGTGCATTTGACCACTCTTCGAGACAGTGGTTTATAACAGAGATGGTTGCTCTTGGATACTTAGTTAATGAAAAGTTGAGGGTTACCATCATACTAGTGGGAACCAGTCCAACCCTACTCATTGGCCTAGTCTATATCAAACCTGTCAACAGTACTGTCCTTTTTATTAACCTATAATGTATGTTCCAGGGAACTCTTTGTGGCCAGTAAATATTGGAGAGAATTAATTTGCTTGGGGATGACTTGTGCTGAATACCATGTATCTTACTGTTGTTTGTTTGTATGACTGGAGTATAAAGGGATTTGAAAAAGAAAGTCCAGGAAGCATCCTGAATGAGGCAGAGGTCCTGGCTTGGAAGTGTTATAGAGCCAGCTCACCAGACGCAGCTATAGAAATGTTCTAAGACTAGCCAGTGCTTCTGTTCTGGACACAAGAGAACTGAGATCCTGTATTGAAAGAGCCATCATAACACTTGCCTGTTTTTCTTAGCATCGGCATTATTTCAGGTCTGAGCTATGTATAGATTTCAGTAAATCTTTTGACAGGGTTCTGTACAACAAGGGAAAAAAGGGGGAACCCTCTGATTTTGAAGGATATATAATCCTTCTTTCTCGGTTCTTGTGAACAGCAGGATATTTTCTGGGCAGGGGGACGGCTTGCATGGTATAGCGGAGAATCACTGGACTTGTACCCAGGGAACCTGGAGTTGTTTGTTTATTTATTGCATTTACACCCCACCTTTCTTCCCAGTGGGGGGTCCCAAAGTGGCTTACATTGTTCTCTTCTACATTTTATCCTAACAATCCTGTGCTGTAGGTTAGGCTAAGAGTATGTGACTTGGCCAAGGATATCTACCTAGTTTCCATGGGGGTTCACACTTGGGTCTCCCAGATTGCAGGCACAACACTCTCATCACTACACCACACTGGCGGTCCAACCCTCAGCTGTCAGGCTGCCCTCAGTGAATAGGTATGCTGTAGTGAGCTCCTTGGATAGGGGGCAGGATGTAAATGAGAGAGAAATACTTGGTTCCAAGTGGTTATTATTTTTTTATTTTTGCGATATCTGTTTACAGGGGTCATTTCGTAGAAAAAGAGGTGCAGGAGCTCATTAGCATAACCCATTAGCATAACTTACTTGCATATACCACACCCCCTGACATCACCGGACGTGTGTCAGAAGGCAACACCCACCGCTCAGGCTCCATTGGACTGTTTTGGATTGCTAGCTTATTGGGGGGGAAACGTGCAGATCTGTCCTCGCAGAGAAGGGAGAGCTTGTACCTGAATAAAACTTGGTCTTAAAGGTGCCACTGGACTGTTTTGGATCGCTAGCTATGGGGGGGAGGGAATGCGCAGATCTGCCCTCGCAGAGGAGGGAGAGCTTGTACCTGAAGGCGGGCCGGCGGGGGGCTCTGCAATTTACCTGGCTGCTTCTTGCTCCGACTGAGGGCTTCTGGGAGCAGGGGGCAGGGCTTGTTGCATGTGCCCGCCCGCCCCCTGGGCTCCTTATTGCCGGAGCTCCGCTCCTGTGCGCTCCCGCAGAAAATGACCCATGTCTGTTTAGTTCCTATTCCAGAATATGCACATTGGAGGAAATGTAGAGGATTCTTCAGGTTTGAGGTGACCATTTTCCCTTCAAAGCTGGATGTAGCTTTGTAGCTTCTCGGGATAGGTGGTCATTGTATCAGCAAGGTTGTTATTAATAAAATGTTGGATTCTGTGAAAGAAGTGGGTAGCATTGATTTAAGAGATGTTGATACATGCATTCATTTTACTGAGGTTTATAAAGTCAGTTGTTAAGGATACATACATGCCAACAAGCAAAATATTTCTGATTTTCTGATCTGCTGAATCTTGTCTGGCATTTGACAGAGCTGTCTAACTTCCAAAGCCAGAAACCAAAGTGAGGCAAACCTTCACCAGTGCTTTAAAAAAAATATTTATTCTCTTCTTGAACAACTCCTCCCCCCTCCCCCGGGGTCTTATTTCTAACTCCTCTTGCCTTTGCACAGGTCCCGTCCTTTACCAAAGCTGAAAGAATCGCGTTCCCATGAATCTTTGTTGAGTCCAGCTAGCGCTGTGGAGACATTGGATCTCGCCACCGAAGAGAAAGTCTTAGTCAAACCGCTTCATAGCAGTATCCTCGGACAAGACTTCTGCTTTGAGGTAAAAACAAAAAAAAACCCTCATCCCTTAAAAAAGAAATAGACAGATTGCTTAATACACTTGGTCTGGTTCCTGATTTCATTCTCCCTGGGTTTCGTAACCAGGTGAACAAATTGAGATGTACCAAAGCAAAGGCGTGGACTAGGTATTCATCAGCCAGTTTTAAAGGCCTGGGGCCCACTGACATTAATCATTCAACAGGAAGAAATTTTGTCAACTGTGTGGAGCTACCCCAAGTAAAGATTACAATGAATGGCTTGAGAGAGAGAAACTATGGAAGACGTGATCTGTTTTTGAGCCAGTTTCTGTTGATGTAGGTGTGGTACCAACCCGCTTCAGTGCTGTGCCAGGGTTGGGCAAGTATTTTGATCTCGGAGGGCTGAATTCACAGTGTACCCCCACAGTGCAGTCCAGCTGCCAATTTACATTGTTGTAGACCTCATTTGCTTATAATTTTCAAATGTTTTGCCACTAACCATTTATGTTCTCGACAATATTTATTTGTAACTTGCATCTTCTTTCTCAACCCCAAATGAGGCTTACAATAAAATAATGGCAAATTTATGTAAAATAATCAGTTACATCTTCTAAAACCTGTTAATTAAATAGTTACAAAAAACCAAACAGGGGAAATACACAGTACAGAATACCAAAAAACCAAAAATAACTGTGTACAGAAATATCGAAAGTATATGCAAATTACTTTTTACATATGTCACAAGAAACTTATAATCACAACACTATTATGGCAATTACTCTCTTCAAATAATGTAAACCACTCAGTACATGAAAACAGTCCAAAGTAATCCAAAATAAATAGACGTGCTTCAGATAAAGGCCACAGTTCATGAAAACAGTCCTAAGTAATCCAAAATAAACAGAAGTGCTGCAGATAAAGACCATTAGAACGTAGACACTTTCTCAGCCTGATGTCTTCAGGGATCAGTTCTCATCACACTTGTGTCATAAGATGTCGGTTCAAGGCTTGCTGCTACGCTTTGCCGGCTTTCCAATGGCGTTTCGCACGAGGCTTTTTCAAAAGCCAAGCCAAGAGTCTCCCAATTTACTTTAGAATAACGCTTTCAACGGGGACCTCCGTCTCCCCATGTCAACAGTAAAGAGGATAAGACAAAAATGTGTAAGCTGGAGGCTAAAAAACTGTGAGCTAGCTCACACTAACTCAGCTTAGAGGGAACACTGCTTACGTGTTTCAGAGAGTACATCAAAAGTATTTTGTTTTTTGTTTTTTTTATTTTGGAAGAACCCAATTCATATTTTAAAAAACAAAACCTAAGCCTTACTTGGTATTTTTTTTAACTCCACTGCTCTTAAGCATTGCCCAATCTGTGCCCTGTTTGTGTGAGAGAGTATTTTCTCTCTGTCATTGACATGTGCATGCACTGCTATCTTCGCCCAGAAGGGGGACCAAGAAGAGAAAGAGAGATTTGAGAAAGGAAAATCCCATACATGAAGCAACATGTGGAGACAGGATTTCTATAAGTAATCACATGGGGGGGGGGGGTGTTAAATGATTAATGAGATTAGGAACCTCATTTCTTTGTAGATTTTTCCTTTGGTAATCGTACTGTTAAAAAATTAATGAAAGTATTCCAGGTAACTTTTAAAGATAAATTTAGAAATAGTTTCTGAAGAGAGAGGAAATGTCTATACTGAGCCAATCCATAGCTGCTGTGTGGAAGTTCTTGAGAGTTAAGAGAACAAAAAAATATCTTACACCTCAGTGCACAGAAGCAAAGATCTGCTGTTGCTTGCCTTAGAGATTACACTGGCAATTTGATTTCTTTGGAAGAGACACTCCAGAATTATTACGACACAATTCACACCAGTGCTCCATTAGTTTGCTTCCTTCAGTGTCAAGTGAACATAATCAGCTCACGCATGGGTCAGCCTGCTCCACAGTGTGTGAAGGAGATGGAAAAAGAAAGCATTTGTTAAGGAGCGTTTCATACCTGGGAGCTGAAATGGTCACTTAACTCTGTTCCTCGGACTTCTTATTTAAAATACCTAAGCAACTAGGAAAATGTTCCTCTGGCCATGATAAGTGGAACAACTGCCTTGTTCTAATCTCTTGGTAATGTTAAAGGTCCTCAGAAAAACACAAGAACAGAAATCCAAATTTGGCCATCTTGTCAATTCATCACAAAATTCTTCAGGTGAATTCCTGAGGTGCCTAGCAAACATCTCGAAACATCATGTAACACTTTGCAAATGAAAAAAAAATGCATCACATAAAAACATAAAATTTTATGTATCAGTTAGACCAGGCTTTAGAGGGGGCCTGTTCTGTAAAGTCTCAAAACTATATAGGTCGGAAGAAGTAAAAATTGCAGTTTCAAGAGTTTGAGGTGTATTACTTGAGTGTCCTGTTTACTGCCCACCGCTTTCTAGTCTCCATTAAGAATGGTTACACAATCCTCTTATGCTAGGGTTGCCAACTTCCAGATGGGAGCTGGAGACCTCCCACTATTGCAATTAACCTCCAGGCAATAGAGATCAGTTTCCCTGGAGAAAATAGCTGCTTTTGTGGGTGGACTCTATGGCATTCTGCCCTGCTTAAATCCCTCTCCTTCCCAAACCCTTCCCTTTCCAGGCTCCACCATCAAAATCTCCAGGTCATTTCCCACCCAGAGCTTGCAACCCTATCCTATGCTGAATTTGTCCACAGATTTTAGGTCAGTGATGCCTGAAATCATCACAGAGCAAAAGTCAGTGTTGAAATCCAGAATTCTTCTGGAGCTGTATTTCCAGTAAGGTTGCTAGAAATCATTACCAGAGCAGGTCAGTGTTAAAAGTCCAGAATTCTTCCAGAATGTGCTCCCAGAGTCAAGCAAAAATAAAATTAAAGCCCATGACTAAAATCTCTGTATGGATAATTTTGAAGGTTTGTTTTGGAAAGCTGCAACTGTGCTCCTGATGCAGCACAGAAAGCAGAAGTCTCTTTAATGCGACTCCTTTGTGTGAAGTGCTAAAAACTGTTTTAAAATTTGACACGCAAAGGGGATTAATTTTGATGGGCTTTGTTTCTTATATTGCATAGGAATGCTTGTCATTCTGTTGCACAAGCAGATATGCAGTAAAAATAATGTTTTCTTTCAGCTTTACTATTTTTAAATGGATTTGCAAATTAAAAAGAAAAATATTTTTTTCTTTGTGTGAAATCCATGATCAGCTTCCTGAAAGTTTCCCTTTCTTGCTAGAAGAAAACCAGAGTACAAGCCATACTAAAACCATAGAACTGAGGGAATCAGTTTATCCCTGGTCTTTATCTATTTCCCCTACTCTTTGTAAAAAAGAAAGAAAAGAAAGGGAGGGGGGATTTCCTTAAAATAAAAAGTGATGCCCAAAAGAAAACAGAAGCACAGTGCCATCCTTAGCACAGTTGCACCTTCCTAAGCCCTTTTACTTATTATTTATTTATTTTATTAGACTTCTAACCCACCCTCCCCTGCACCACAGGGCTTCAGTGAATTTATAAGGATATAACTCTGTTTAGGAGTGCACTGTTACATGTGTACTCAGTCTGCATTGTTTAATAAAGGTAAAGGTTCCCTTGCTCGAAAGCCAGTCGAGTCCGACTCTAGGGTTGTAGTGCTCATCTCCGTTTCAAAGCCGAAGAGCCAGCGCTGTCCGAAGACGTTTCCGTGCTCATGTGGCCAGCATGACTAAACACCAAGGTGCATGGAACGCTGTTACCTTCTCACTGAAGTGGTACCTATTTATCTACTTGCAATTTCTTGCTTTCGAACTGCTAGGTTGGCAGGAGCTGGAACTAAAGACAGGAGCTCACTCCGTCATGCGGCATACTCGGGTCTCAAACTGCTGTACTACTGACCTTCCACAGCCTGCAGTTCAGCGTCTTAACCACTTGAGCCACCGCAGCTCCATGCACTGTTTAATACTGATGCGTAATTTAGAATTCTCGCTGTAAGATATTCAGGGCATTGTGCTCATTCCTGTTTTATGCACCCTGGGCAGATCTTAACTTTTTGTTAACATGTCCTAGGTAACTTACTCTAGTGGCAGTAAATGCTTCAGCTGTTCTTCTGCTGCTGAAAGAGACAAGTGGATGGAAAACCTACGGAGAGCAGTTCAGCCTAACAAGGTACTATACGAGGGGAAGTTCCAGGAAAACATCCGGTGGTAAAATGCACCCTGAGTAATTGCGCTTTTGACCAAGTGATATATCATTCTCTTCCCCAAACAAGCCCACACATTTAATTAAGTTGATGGCATCAGTATAGCCACCCCAGGAGGAAAACTGCTTAATAACATCAAATGATACTCTGCTCAGCTTTATACAAAAGTGTAATAGATTAAGCTTGTAAAACATGGGCTTCTGTCACCCATGTTAATGATCACATTCTCTAGGAGACCTATCGTTGTCTTACTGGGAAATCAGCGTGTGTAAATTACTCTTGAACTTCTTTATTTTAGCAAGAAGAGTCCCGTTGGCCGATAGGCAAATGCTGACTGTATATGAATTTTGACTTTTGAATTTCAAAAAAATAATAATCTTCTGAAGTCAGAGCTTTATCGAAATGGGTCAAGTTATTTCATTAGTGGCCCTTTCCGTTAGTCATCCTATCCTATCATTAATAAAGGTTTATCTTGCCCTCTACTGGCTGGATACATTTCAATGTGGGTTTCAGTTAGAAGCTTCCTTAATCACCATGATAGACAATCTAAACAGAGAGAGGCTGTGTGACACTGTTCATTCTCCTCAATCTCTCAGTGGCCTTCAGGAAAACTGATGGGCAGTAATTCTTGGGTGAGTTGGGAATAGGAGACACCATTTTGTGGTGATTCCACTCCTTCCTTAGGATAATTCCAGTTGGTAGTGCTGAGAAATTACTATTCCTCCCCATGCAAATCGTTGTGTTTGGTACCATCTTATGTCCCATGATGTTTACCATCTACATGGAGCCTTGCATGGATGAGGTTGGTTGTTGGGCGCATGATGTTATCAGCAGTGTTTGGGGATTTTTGCTCCCCTTTTCTGCATATATTGGAGTTCCTGCTAATATTCAAGAGATTCCCTCTTTCACCACTGGACTGCTCACTGGGGCCAGAACTTGTAGTTATAGTTAAGTACTATGTGACAAAAAATCAAAGTTGCATAGAAAAAGGATAATTGTGTGATAAGAATTTCACCATTACAAAGAATCTTGTATTGCCCGACCAGCACTGCTAAGCCAAACTAAGTGGTTTTTTGTCTTCAGGATAACTGCCATCGAGCTGAGAATATTCTGCGTCTTTGGATCATTGAAGCCAAGGATTTGGCCCCCAAGAAGAAGTACTTCTGTGAATTGTGCCTGGACGATACTTTATTTGCCCGCACTACAAGAAAAACAAGAGCTGACAATATCTTCTGGGGCGAGCACTTTGAATTCTCAGGACTTCCATCGATACTCAGCATCACTGTCCATATCTACAAGGATGTTGAGAAGAAAAAGAAAAAGGACAAAAATAACTATGTTGGTCTGGTCAACATCCCCGTGTCCAGTGTGACTGGCCGCCAGTTTGTGGAAAAGTGGTACCCCATCAGCACACCCACTCCCAATAAAGGCAAGACTGGAGGGCCTTCCATTCGGATCAAGTCTCGGTACCAGACCATCATCATCCTGCCCATGGAGCAATACAAGGAGTTTGCTGAATTTGTCACTAACAATTACACTTTGTTGTGTACCGTGCTGGAGCCGGTGATCAGTGTCCGGAACAAAGAGGAAATGGCCTGTGCTTTGGTGCACATTCTTCAGAGCACTGGCAGAGCCAAGGTAAGCGCAAGTGTTACTCCTGAACTGGAATGATGCTGCTGGGAGATTATGGAGGTTGGGTTCTCACTGAGGTGTATCAACGAGAATGAGTATGCAAAGGCATCTGCTTGGACAGGCATCTACTGTTATAAAAACAGCTAAAGAGCTCATTATAAGAATGCAGTATATAGCCAGTCCTGGTCATTTGGACCATTTGTAAACAACAGTTTGAGGGCAAAGCACCATATATGGAGTTAGCCCATTGTATCCTCACGTATCCTTCCCCCTGAGCATAGTTTCAAAACCACTTTACAGTCATCATGTGCTATCTCTAGAATTACTTGGACCATCCTGTGAGATGACTTAGCCAGAGACTAGTGACTTGCTGAAGGCCATCCAGTGAGATTTCATGGCAGAGCAGGGTTTTGTATCACCCCCTATGACGATCTGTTTCCTTTCCTTCTTCCTTCTGGGTCCAAGCCTCACCTTACCAAACCTAGAATCTAGGTTTTGCCTATAGAGAGATGACTGTGCAGTTCTGTAGACCCTTCTCTAGCTGTGTTTGTGGCTTTGCTCAAAATCTGTTTCTCCTCAATGAAAGTAGCTTTATGATGCTTTTAAGAGGCTGACAACCCCCGAGTGATGGACAGGGCAAGTGAATTTGTTTTGCATCCCTGGTTTTCAAAACATTGCCTTCAAAAAACTATTTCCACATTTATTGGTCTCAATAATCAAGGTTATTCTTTGAGATGTTACAGGGTGCTGAAAGCAATGCCCATGGAGCACTTAGCGGACATGCTGGTTTTTGCTGTTGCTTTGCATGAACCTGAGAGTATACCCTAGAATGTCCCCAATGCTCCTCCATGGTACACAATAGAAGGAAAACTGAGTAGTGATGAGGAAGCTCATTCACCGTTGCTTACCTTCTCACTGAGGTGTCCTTGAGGTGCATCAGAGAAGCTTCCCCCTGAGCATAGTTTCAAAACCACTTTTCTATAAAACAGTCATCATGTGCTATCTCTAGATAGGGTATCTTGCTGACCATGCAGGATTAGAATTACTTGGACCATTGCTTTTTTCTGATTAATAGCTTGCGCTGTTTGTGTAATATTTATCTGTAATATCCCAGGGAAGTGTTCTCACTGAACCAAACCATCTCAGCTGTAAGTTGTATTGCTGACAGCAACACTTTTCATAGGTAGGCTCTGTCCTTTGCAAGTCGCTCGGGGTTTAGAAGCCTTATCTAGGGAATTCTCCATCCGCCACCTTACCTTTTCAGCAGGCTGCAATCCTTTTGTCTCATATCTGGAATGATTACTATATTCTACTGGGCCTCAGGACACCACTTAGGAAGGGGTACACTGGAGCCTTCTCCAGGACTTCAGATGATGAAGAAGAAGAGATTGGATTTATACCCTGCCCTTCACTACCCAAAGGTGTCTCAGAGCGGTTTACAAACTCCTTTCCCTCCCCCTCCCCACAACAGACACCCTGCGAGGTAGGTGGGGCTGAGAGAGCTCTGGACAGAAACTGCTCTTTTTCAGAACTATAGCTTGCTCAAGGCCATCCAGCCAGGTGCAAGTGGAGGAGTGGGGAATCAAACCCAGATTAGAGTCCGTGCACTTAACCACTACACCAAACTGGCTCTGATGCACCTCAAGGACTCCTCAGTGAGAAAGTAAGCAATGGTGAATGAGCTTCCTCACCACTACTCAGTTTTCCTTCTATTTTGTGCCATGGAGGAGCACTGGGGACATTCTAGGGTATACTCTCAGCTTCAGGCAAAGCAACAGTTTGCATGACAAGTGATTATTCCTCTGGTCTGCCTGAGGAACAGGGCCAAAGTTCTGGTGTTGACTTACCAAGTCTAAACCACTTGGACTCTACCTTTTCTACTCTGTTTGTTTGCAGTTTCTAGAGGGGGCTGCAGATAGCCCCTCCTCTCTGTGTGCTGACTGAGAACCAGCGTGGCGTACTGTTAGAGTTGGCAGTTTAGGACAGGAGACCCCCAGTGTGGTGCCCGGGGCTACCATTTGCCCTCCAATACCTTTCTTGGAGCCTGCCAAGTGTTTTTAGAAAGTGGGTGGGGCCAGGAGGGCTCTGGCCCAGGAGGACTCCCGATGGCCCTTTGGGGATCTGATTGATTGCACAGTTTAAAATAACATTGCACCGGCAGCTGCCACTGGGAGAGAGGAGTCCGAGAGACAATAAATCCAATGCTACAGTGCTGGATTTGTTCTCTCTGACTTCTTTTCCCGAATGTATTTTGGACATCTACTCCTCTTGTCCCCTGCGCTTGGGCTTCCTCTGTGCGTGCGTGGTTCGCTCCACCTTCCACGGTGGCCATTTTGTGGCCTGTCTCCCACCATGGCCGTTTTTGTGGCTGCACCCACCATTCTGTGTCAGAATTCCAAAGGTGCCCACAGGCTTAAAAAGGCTGAGGACCCCTGGTCTAGGAGCTGGCGGGCCAGATTTCAAATCCCAGCTCTGCCACGGAATTTTACTGGGTGACCTTGGGCAGGCTACACTCTCTCAGTCTAACCTACTTCACAGGGTGCTGGTTGTGAGAATCCGTTGGAGGAAGAGAGAACCGTGTTGCAAGCTGCCTTGTGTCCCCATTGGGGAGAAGAGCAGGGTTTAAATAAATAAAGGGGGAGAACACAGAGAAAGAGAGATGTCCTTTTCAGCAGCTGCTCTGTGTTCTGTTTTCCAAGCAGGCATTTCAGTGACTGAGGACATGTATCATGGTTGTATTAGTTGAACATATGTACTAGCATAGCGCCAGAAATCCCGGCAGTGTGGCATGTTTTTTTGTTAGAGAAAGAATAAGCTGGTTCTCTGCTGA